CCCCAAAAGATGCAGGAACTGTTCCATAAGAAAGAAGCAATTCCAAAGGGTTTCCCCGGTTAAAAAGAAAACCCAGCCTGGGCAGGGCAAGGCATCCAAAGTGCAGAGTTTGGTTATTGAGGATGAGGCAGGGAAACAATGGAATGTTGGGAGAAAAAGGGATCAGGTGCACTGAAAACCCCTCTGAAGGGAAATGTCTGGGGGAGATCATCATTAATAACAATTCTCTGCCATTAATAACAATCCTCTGCTGTGCAGAAGAATCACAGAATCAGGGAGGTGGGAAAAGGCCCCCAAACCACGGCACAGGGAAAGCACCAGGGAGGGGCTGGGGCTGGGCCTGGAGGGATTTAGGTTGGATTTCAGGGAAAGATTCTTCCCCAGAGGTTGCTGGCACTGCCCAGGCTGCCCAGGGAATGGGCACGGCCCCGAGGCTGCCAGAGCTCCAGGAGCCTTTGGCCAGCACTGCCAGGGGTGCCCAGGCTGGGATTTGGGGGGTCTGGGCAGGGCAGGGCTGGCACTGGGCGAACCCTTCCCACTCAGCAATTCCATGATTTTTATTATTCCATGAGATCAGGAGCATTTGGCTTGGCATTAGTCTCCATTCCAGACCAATGTTAAGGTTTCCACCTCTCCTGCTCCTCCTCCTGTTCACTCATTCCCACCCTGCCTGTCCCTGACCACCTCCAGACTCAGCAAACCCTGGGCTAAGTGACCTTCAGGGGGACACTGGGCCTGGGATTATTCAGGGAATCTCTGGTTTCAGGAACAGCTGGTAGAAGACAGGGGTTGAGGGAGGGATAAGTTTCACATTATTGGTAGTGATTTCTCAACTTGGGAACTTCCAGGCTCCTTTCTCATTTCCATAGCCAGACAAAAGAGCTCCAAGTGACTTCATCCAGCTGGGAGCAGCCAGGGGATGTCTGTGCACAGCACAGGGAGGTGCCTCTGGGGCTCCTCAGACCACACAGAAACCCTCTGGGGGCAAAGCCAAGGGAACCTGCCAGGAAAAGTGGGGGATCAGGAGGAAATGCTGCCAGCAGCTCATCCCAGTGCTGGGAGGTTTCCTGCTCAGAACATCGCCAGGAGCAAGGAGAGCAGTAACCATGACAATGGTGGGAGCAGCAGGGTTCCCTCAGGAATCAGCATTTTCCACGCCAGGAGCAAATCTCCCTCTCTCCGGGGTGTGCTGTGGATTTGGGGTCACTCCACGCTGCCTTCCTGTCCCTCAAAGATGACATTTCTTAGGCAGGACTGGCTGTAAAATGAAAATATGAGTTTTTGCTCCCAGCCCAAGTGCTTGGGGGGCTTTTTGCACCTCAATCCCACGAAAATATGAGTGTTTGCTCACAGCCCAAGTGCTTGGGGGGCTTTTTGCACCTCAATCCCACTCCTTGTATGTCTCCAGCAGAGCAGGAGCTGCTGCTGATGCTCCTGATGTGGTCTCATTTCCCTGAGGAAACTCCTCAGGTGTCTCAGAGCCTCTCAGAGGTGGCAGCATCTGCTGTTTGCCAGAAACAAATCCAACACTCATTCATTCTCCTTTTTTTCCTCTTTTGGTTTGGTTTTCTGGGTTTTTTTTAGAAAGTTTTTGTCTTTTTCTGCTCCATCTCATGAGTGAGGTGCCCATGGAGCAGAGCTCTGAGGATTTACTTCTGCAGCAAGGGCATGGAAGTGGGGCTCACCTGATCCTGGGGGAGAAAAGGAGAGGAAAGGAGAAGGAAAAAGGAAAAGGAAGTGGGAAAGGAAGTGGGAAAGGGAAAGGGAAAGGAAAGGGAAAGGAAGTGGGAAAGGAAAGGGAAAGGAAAGGGAAAGGGAAAGGGAAAGGGAAGGGAAGGGAAGGGAAGGGAAGGGAAGGGAGGGAAAGGAAAGGAAAGGAAAGAGAAGGAAAGGAAAGGAAAAGAAAATTATTCAAGGAAAGGAAAGGAAAGGAAAGGAAAGGAAAGGAAAGGAAAGGAAAGGAAAGGAAAGGAAAGGAAAGGAAAGGAAAGGAAAGGAAAGGAAAGGAAAGGAAAGGAAATTCCAACTTTGGGTGTTGAGCAGCCAGACTGCTCTCTGCTCACCTCTTGTGTCCAGATCAGCAAAGGAAATTATTGCTCTTATCACTGCTGGTGCTACTGCTTTATTCACAGAAACATGGCATGATTCAGGTGGGAAGGGACCTTAAAGATGATCCCACTCCACTGTCCCAGGTTGTTCCAAACCCCATCCTGCCCTTGGGCACTGCCAGGGATCCAGGGGCAGCCCCAGCTGCTCTGGGCACCCTGTGCCAGCCCTGCCCACCCTCACAGCCAAGAATTCTTCTCTAATAATTCTTAATATTATTATTATTATTATTTTACAGAGCTCATCTTTACTCGTCTGGCTCACCAAAAATGGAGCTGCACCCCTGTTTAACCCCAGGAAAGCTCTTTTCCAATATCTAAACTTGCAGCAATCAGCACAAAGGCTCAGTCCCAGATCCGACAGGATGACTGATGCAAGCTGTCAGCCAATATTTGACTTTCCAGGTGAGATTAGATTTAGCTTTTAATTTAATATAAACATAAGGCGTGCAGTGCAAGGCACTTATTTCACAGGCACCTGCTCCCTGCCTTGTGCAGGCTCCTTAAAGACATCCCTGCTCTTTTGGGGAGTTTCATCCCATTATCCAGGGGAGTTGGAAAATCCTGAGTGTTCTGAATCTCCTTAGGGAAGGACACAGCAAAGGTAAGCTGCTGTTACAAGTCTATTTCCTCTTGAAAAATGCTAGCAATTTTTGATGTAAATCAAGGAGAAAGCAGGTTTTACAGACAGTAAAGGCAGTTTGGATTTATATTTTCTCATTTAGTTTCATTAATTACCTTTATCCCCTGTATTTGAGCATGTGTGAGGGAATAACTGCAGAGGGATCCATGTGCACGTGTACCTGGATCCTTGTGTGCACACAGGGCTGAATTCCTGAATTGGAAAACATCCCAAATTTTTTATTAGCAATGAAAATTCACTGCCTCTTCCCCTTGGATGCAGCCAGCTCCTCGTTCTTGAGGATTGGAGTGGGAACAAAGAGCTTTTGGGGAAAGATTTCCACAGGTTTTAGGGCATGGTTGGCCTGGAGAGCTGAAGGAATTGTTCACATTAAAGTGGGACATCCTGGGGGGGAATGGGATCAGGTGGGAATGGGATCTGTATGAGAATGGGATCAGGTGGGAATGGGATCTGTGTGAGAATGAGATCAGGTGGGAATGGAATCTGTGTGAGAATGGGATCCAGTCGGAATGGGATCAGGTGGGAATGGGATCTGGTGAGAGTTAGGTCTGTGTGGGAATGGGATCAGGTGGAAATGGGATCAGGTGGAAATGGGATCAGGTGAGAATGGGATCTGTGTGGGAATGGGATCAAGTGGGAATGGCTCTGGTGGGAATGGGATCTGGTCAGAATGGGATATGTGTGGGAATGGGATCTGGTAAGAATGGGATCTGATGGGAATAGGATCTGAGTGGGAATGGGATCCGGCTGGGAATGGGATTTGGGTAGGAACAGATCTGGGTGGAAACGGGATCTGGTGGGAATGGGATCCATGTGGAAATAGGATCTTTGTGGGAACGGGATCTGTGTGGGAATGGGATGTGTGTAGGAATGGGATCTATGTGGGAACAGGCTCTGGTGGGAATGAGTTTTGGGTGTGAGTGAGTTTTGGGTGGGAATGGGATCTGATGGGAATAGGCTCTGAGTGGGAAGGAATGCTGGAGGGGGATTGTCCTCCTCTGTGACACACACCTGGTTCATGGGTCTGAGCAGCACTGGGGTCTGAATTTTGGGATAAATGGGATCAAACATGGCTTTGCAGTACCAGGCAGTGTCTCTTCCCCTGTGGGGACTGTCCCAAATGGTCCCTGAGGCCACTCCAGGGATGGAGTCTCAGCCTCCATGTCCCTCCCATGGCGTTGTCTTCTCCTCAGGAGCAATCCTTCTTCCCTTGGAGGTTCCCCTCTGTAGGGAAGGGACAGAGCCACAAACCCTGTGACAGTGCTGTGGAGACCTTCACCAAAGTGTCCCACAGAGAAAAGGGACCTGAGTGGGCTCCAGGATGAGCAGAGGGATGGAGCCGCTCTGCTGGCAGCAAAGGCTGGCACAGCTGGCATTGTTCACCTGCACAGGAGAAGCTTTGGGCTGAGCTCAGGGTGGCCTTGCAGGGCCTGCAGGAGCCCCAGGAAAGCTGGAGAGAGACAATTTCCAGGGGATGCAGGGACAGCACACAGGGAATGGCTTCACACTTAAAAATTACAGGAATAGGTCAGATATTAGGAACAATTTCCTCCCTGGCAGGGTGGGCAGGGGCTGGGATGGAATTGCCAGAGCAGCTGGGGCTGCCCCTGGATCCCTGGCAGTGCCCAAGGCCAGGCTGGGCACTGGGGCTGGAGCAGCCTGGCACAGGGGAAGATGTTCCTGCCCATGGAATGGCACTGGGTGGATTTTAAGGTCCATTCCAACCCAAACCATTCCATGATTCTGAGCAGGACCTCCTTGGGTCTGTGAACCTACTGAACCACTCAGAGATGGGGATTCTCAGCTGAGCTAAAGCTGCACCTTCAAGTGTCAGAAGGTGACTTACTAGATACATGACACTGACAAAATACTCCAAACCAACTCTTTTAATGCAGACAGCTGATTAAAAATAATATTTTCTTGTCTTTAGCAGCATAATTAGCAAGGATGGCCAAGCTGCAGAACTTCACTTGGGCAGTGGAAGATATTTTCAAGGAAACCTTCCTCAATTACATGAACAGCTGGAGGAGGAACATGACAGAAGCAGCGAATAAACTGCAGGCTGAGGTGGCTGCTGAAAACTTTGACTACGTTATCCTCTACCTGATGGTGATGATTGGGATGTTCTTCAGAAGGTGACTGTTACTAGATGATTGACATAACACTGACAAAATACTCCAAACCAACTCTTTTAATGCAGACAGCTGATTAAAAATAATATTTTCTTGTCTTTAGCAGCATAATTAGCAAGGATGGCCAAGCTGCAGAACTTCACTTGGGCAGTGGAAGATATTTTCAAGGAAACCTTCCTCAATTACATGAACAGCTGGAGGAGGAACATGACAGAAGCAGCGAATAAACTGCAGGCTGAGGTGGCTGCTGAAAACTTTGACTACGTTATCCTCTACCTGATGGTGATGATTGGGATGTTCTCCTTCATCATTGTGGCCATCCTGGTGAGCACTGTGAAATCCAAGAGGAGGGAGCACTCCAATGATCCCTACCACCAGTACATCGTGGAGGACTGGGGGGAGAAGTACAAGAACCAGGTCCTGAACCCAGATGATCTCAAGTGTGTGATCCATGAAAACCTGGGAGCAAGGGATAAAACAAGCCCAGAGTCACCTTGACTTTCTGGAACGCCAGCAGTGAGGGATTCATGGAGTCACACAGAGGGAATTCACTGGAATTCCAAAGAGCTGTGGGAGTGTTGATTAAATTTACACACAGGTCAATGGATAATGGAGTCCTGAGGAAATCAATGTCATGGTTCCTGTGAGGATCTTGGGAAAGTGCAAGAAAAATCTGTGATTGTGCTTCCCTTTGATAGCTTGTCCTTTGGGAAAATAAAGCCATGACAGGGAAAACTTGATTTTTTGAGCATTTTTTAAATCCACAAGCAGATCTGGATGTTTCCAGATATTCCACCTCAGAATAACCGTGAATTAGTGCTGGTCAAAAGTGCCAATTTATATCCAAACAGTGTGACTTAAAACCACTTTAAAAATAACCTGAAAATGTCCAGTGAAATCTCCCATCTCCACGCATTGACTGAGGAAGCAATTAGGGAATGAATCACAGGAGAGACCTGATACCTGCACACACTCACTCCCCACTCCTTTTTAGTGATCTGATTCCTATTTTTGCTGGTGTTAAATAATAAATGACAAAGGGCTTCTTTTCTTTGGGAGCCTTTGGCTTGTCTTGACCACAGGTTTTGAGATTTGAACTGATACCATCACACTCCAGAAGTGCTGGAGGTGCAAAACCAGCAGGCTGAAGGAAGGGATTGTCTTCTACTCTGTTCATGTGAGACCCGGCCTGCAGAACTGCCCTGGATCAACACCAGAAAAAGGAGATGCTGGAGAGTCCAGAGGAGAACACAGAGCTGTTTCAGAGCCCCTCTGCTCTGAGCCAGGCTGGGAGAGCTGGGGGTGCTCACCTGGAGAGGAGAAGCTCCAGGGAGAGCTCAGAGCCCCTGGCAGGGCCTGAAGGGGCTCCAGGAGAGCTGCAGAGGGACTTCTCACAGAGTAATGTATTGATAGGACAAAGGGAAATGGCCTTAAATTGCAGCTGGGCAGGTTTACATCAGATGTTAAGAAGAAATTCTTTAGTATGAGGGTGGTGAGGCGCTGACACAGGCTGCCCGGACAAGCTGTGGACTCCACATTCCCAGAAATGTTTAAGGCCAGGCTGGACAGGGCTCGGGGGTCTCCGGGACCTCGCCGCGGTGCTTTCGGGAGCTGCTTTAGGGCAGAACTGTTAATTTTGGCCGAGCCCCGCCATGCCCGGCGCCGCAGCCGAGCGGGCGGAGCGGCCCCGGCCGGGCCGGCGCTGCCGCTGCCGGGAGCTCCGTGCGGGAGCGCCGCCCCCGCTGCCATGGCCGCCCGCAGGTACGACCGGCCCGGGCCCCTTCCTCCTTCCTTTCCTCCCTCCCTTCCTTCCCCTCACGGCCCCGCGGGGCTCCGGCGGACCCCGGCCCGCATGGCCGAGCGCTCCGCTCCCGCAGCTCGGCCGGGCCGGGCCCGCTGCCTGCCCGGCCTGCCGCTGCTCCTTCTCCACCCCCTCCTTGCTCTCCAGGCCTCGTCCCTTCTCTCCAAGCCCTCTCCGGTCTAATCCACCCTCCCTTCCCTCTCTCCAGTTCCTTCCGTGTTGCTGATCCCGCTTTCCTCCGTCTCCAGCTCCTCTTTGCTCTCCACCCCCCCTTGCTCAGTTTCCCCTCTGTTGTTCTCCGGCCTCTTCCTTTCTCTCCAGCCCCCTTACTCGATATCCCCCGTTCTCTCCTTGTTCACCAGCTCCCTTTCCTGGTTCTCCATCGCCTTCCTTCCTCTCCAGGCCTTCCATTCTTGTTCTCCACTCCCTGCCTTTCCCTCCAGCCCCCCCCTCCTTATTGTCCCCCTACTCTCCAGCACCCATTTCTTGTTCTCCAGCCCTTGTTCCTTGTTCTCCAGTACCCTCTCCTTTCTCTTCAGCCCCCCATCCTTATTCTCCCCCTACTCTCCAGCACCCATTTCTTGTTCTCCATCCCCATTCCTTGTTCTCCAGTATCCCCTCTTTCTCTTCAGCCCCCTTTCCTTGCTCTACATCCCCTTTCCTTGTTCTGCACCCCCTGATTTTCTTGCTTTCCACCCTCCCTCCTTGTTCCCCAGCCCCTTCCTTCTTCTCCAGCCCAGGACAGAGCTGGGCAGGGATCCAGGGGCAGCCCCAGATGCTCTGGGAATTCCATCCCAGTCCCTGCCGGAGAACAGTCCCTAATTCCCAAGATCCCATCCAGCCCTGCCCTCTGACAGTTTGAAACCATTGCTCCTTGTCTTGGCATTCTCTGCCCACATAAAAAAGGAACAGTCCCTAATTCCCCAGATCCCATCCAGCCCTGCTCTCTGACAGTTTGAAACCATTGCTCCTTGTCTTGGCATTCTCTGCCCACATAAAAAATCCCTCTCCCTCCTTTTTAGCACTGGAAGGGGCTCTAAGGTCTCCCTGGAATTGTCCCTTCTCCAGGCTGGACAATCCCAGTTCTCCAGCCTGTTTCCAGAGCTGAGGGCCTCCAATTTTGGGATCATCTTTGTGATCCCTGGTGATGCCATGGTGGAAGAGTCTGATGTGCCCCTGGCATTTCAGGGTTTGTTTTGATTTTAATCCATCCAGTGTAAACAAAACATCCCATCTGCTCTGTTCCTGTTTTCCAGAGTTTGGAGTATGTGAGGAGCTGCCAGAGGAATCACTCATCTTTTAATTTCTGCTTCATCAGGTAGGAAGATCTGATGTTTTTTTAATTTTTTTTTGATGTTGGAACCTTGAGTCGACCCAGAATCAGAATGAGGTTTGGGTTGGAAAGAACCTTAAAGATCATGTCATTCCAAGGCCTGCCATGAGCAGGGACACTTCCCAGGTTGCTCAGAGTCCCATCCAGCCTGGCCTTGGTGAGTGACACCCCTTTTCTAGCTCAGAAAAGTCACATTTAAGTGCACTCAGATAACTCAGTAGCTCGGTGCTTTCCGAGGCCTGGTGGCTGGAGCTGTTCAGCAATCCCCACAGGAATATCTCCAGCCCCATTTTGTGGGAATGGTGGAGCTCCTGGCAGGCAGGGCGGGATGTGCAGCCTGCCAGGACACCTCTGGGGGGTGTGGATGCTGTGGCTGTTCTCTGGATGTTCTGTGGTGCCTCGGGGCTGTCCCTGCTCTGCAGACAATGCCCTGAGAGCCTGGGCTGGGCTGTGCTTCCTGGGGAGGGCTGGAGCAGCAATCCAGGCTGGCATTCAGTTCCCTGCTCCACCACAGGCTCCCACGTGCCTGGAGCTGTCTGTGGGGCTGTGTTACACAAGACAGAGATCCTGGGGCTGGAATCAGGGCTAATCCCAAGCTCTGGGATGTGGTGCACACTCCCTGAGGGACACAACCTCTGGAATGAGCCTGCTGTGCCTGCAGAGGATCCCAGAGGGTTTGGGGTTTGCAGGGAATTGCTGGCACAGCCCTGAGGTGGGATCTGGCCAGACCCTCTCCTCTTTCCCATCTGCAGGAGCCTGATCTGCTTCACCAGACAGAATTCCCTGGGACAAGGCTGCACACAGAGCCCAGAATTCTAAAATCCCATGGTTTGGGTTGGGAGAGACCTTAAAATTCATCCAGTGCCGTGGGCAGGGACACCTCCCACTGTGCCAGGCTCCAAACTCCAAACCCCTGGGGCACTGCCAGGGCTGGGGCAGCCACTGTGGCATGGCTCTGCTCATGACCAGATCCCATTTGGAAAGGAATAAATCTCCAAAGGGACCTGGCAGTGAGCAGGCAGTGCTGGCAGTGCAGTCCCAGGAATCCCTGGCAGAGCCTGGTGCTGTTTTCCCAGCTGTGGAACATCTGTCAGGGAATGGCAGAGCCTGCTGCTGTGTTATCCCAGCTCCTGGAGCATCTCTCAGGGAATGGCAGAGGCTGCCCCTGTCCCTCCTCCCGTGGCTGCACTCCAGAGCTCCTTGCAGGTGAGGGGAGGGAGCCGTGCCCTTGTGTGGGGCCCAGGCCCTGTGTTTGCCTGCCTTTCCCTGGGCAGGGAACAATGCCTGCCTGTGGATGTGTTCCCTGCTCCTTTCTGTGCCTTATCTCCTGGGGAAAGGCAAACACACCATTCCAGCTGTTGATTTAAGATATGCCAGCCTTGAAAAAGCAGTGTTGGAGCTTTCTGCTCTTGCACTGGTGACCTCAGTGCTCATAAATGGTGTTTTTTAAGTGTGAAGGGAATGGTTTGGATTGGAAGGGATATCAAAGCCCATCCAGCCTCCATGGGCAGGGACACCTTGCACTAATTCCAGGCTGCTCCAGGCCCAGTGTCCAACCTGGCCTTGGACTCTGCCAGGGATCCAGGGACAATTTCCTTGGAAGTGTAGCAGCACTGACTCTGTTCACAACCTCCCTGACATTGTCCCAGCAGGAGAAGGAGCTGCACAGTCAGGATCAGCACAGGAACAGTGACTGATGAGCAGGAGTTTGGTGGTGGCTGCCACTCCAGGGCTTTGGTACAGCTGGGTCTTGGTCACTCTGGAGGAGTGGGAATGATTCCAGAGGGGTCTCAGCAGGGTGAGAGGGAAAAGGAGAGGAGAGGATGCTCTGGCTGGAGAAATTAGAAAATCTGCCCAGAAACTGAGCAGGACAGGAGCTGCAAGAACATGGAATTTCTGCAGGGAGCTCAGCAGCTGCTCTCTGGTGTGGTGCTTTTCATGGCACTGGAGTGTTCTCTCCTGCTTTTCCATGGACAGGAAAGGCCTTCAGGGGTTAATTTGGATTCCAGCAGCTGAGCAGAGAGCCCAGGGCAGTGCTGTGTGTGCTGCAGGCTTTTCATCCCAGGAATTCAGCTCTGGAATGGTTGGTGACCACTCAGGGCTTCAGGGAGTGCTTGCTTTGCTAATTTCTATATTTACAAATTCTTAGCATGGAGAATTAAATTAATCAACCACAGAGGACTGAGAAATTAGAGGATTAATTCAATGTTCAGGCTCCAAACAGAGCAGGTGGGCTTGGAAACCCTCAAAGAAGCCTCAGGGCAGCTCCTGAGTGTCCTCAGCCCCAGCAGAGGCAGGCAGGGGCAGCACACACAGCTCCAGCTTCCAAAGGCAGCCGTGCTCTCCATGTTTTCCATGGGGCAGCTGTCAGGGTGTGCAATTCCAGCCCCAGCACCTGCTCTGGGCTGTCAAAGCCCTGTCCTGCTCCTGTCACTGAGCCCCAGAAAGGCCCTGAGGTCACTGGGGATTGCTGGGGATGAGCCTCTCCCAGGGCAGGGGGGGCTAATTAGCAGCTTGCCTAATTCTCTTTGAATTTCTACTTCTCCAGGAGTTCATTCTGCTTTGAATTTCTACTTCTCCAGGAGTTCATTCTGCTTTGAATTTCTATTTCTCCAAGAGTTCATTCTGCTTTGAATTTCCATTTCTCCAAGAGTTCATTCTGCTTTGAATTTCTATTTCTCCAAGAGTTCATTCTGCTTTGAATTTCCATTTTTCCAAGAGTTCATTCTGCTTTGTTTTCCATTTCTCCAAGAGTTCATTCTGCTTTGAATTTCCATTTTTCCAAGAGTTCATTCTGCTTTGTTTTCCATTTCTCCAAGAGCTCATTCTGCTTTGTTTTCCATGTCTCCAAGATGCTCCTGCCCTGCCCTGTGCCTCCAGGAGTGTGACCCCCCCCAGTCCTGGGACACCCCACAGCTGAGATGGTGGCCTTTAACTGGAAGGTGAGGCTGGGGCAGGTTCCCCAAGCAGGGAAGGCTGCTCTTTCCATGTGGGATGTGTTGGGTGGGTTCTGATGGTTCCTTTCCCAGGGGAGGGTTGTTTAACCCCCACACCCTCAGGGACAGGGGATTTCTTCTTGTCTTTCCTTGCCAGATGTGCTTGCCCCAGGATTTGCTGTTGGGGCCTCCCAGGTTAGACCTGAGCTCTGCTCAGCCCTGCTGCTCCTGCCTTTCCTCTTTCCAGGTTATTCTCTGGCTGCTCTTCCCTCAGCTGCTTTTGTTACTGGAGGGGATTTCTCCACTGGGTTTTGGGGGTTTTGGGGTTTTGGGGTCATTGTGTCAGGCACCACAGTGTTGGAGCAGGTCCCTCCTGCATGGAGCTGCTGCAGAGAGCCCAGAGGAGGCTCCAGGATGAGCAGAGGGATGGAGCAGCTCTGCTCGCCGCAAAGGCTGGCACAGCTGGCATTGTTCACCTGCACAGGAGAAGCTTTGGGCTGAGCTCAGGGTGGCCTTGCAGGGCCTGCAGGAGCCCCAGGAAAGCTGGAGAGAGACAATTTCCAGGGGATGCAGGGACAGCACACAGGGAATGGCTTCCCACTGAAAAATTACAGGGTCAGATCAGATATTAGGAACAATTTCCTCCCTGGCAGGGTGGGCAGGGGCTGGGATGGAATTGCCAGAGCAGCTGGGGCTGCCCCTGGATCCCTGGCAGTGCCCAAGGCCAGGCTGGACACTGGGGCTGGAGCAGCCTGGCACAGTGGGACTGGGTGAGGTTTGAAATCCCTTCCAGCCCAAACTGTTCCATGACTGTATAATTAACAATTTGAGCTCATTAAATCAAATTTCCCCCCAGCCCTGCCTCCCCTGCCCTGGTGCTGCAGAGCTGTGGGTTCAGAGCTGCTGCCTCTGTGATTGTGGGGAGATTGGCAGAGCCTGGTGCTGTTTTTCCAAGCTCCCTGCTGGTGTAGGAACACCTAAATTCAGAGCTTTGATGTGTCCTGACAGCTTTGGGAGATCCCGAGGGACAGGGTGAATTCCAAGTTCACAGAGTTACCACAGAACCTTGGAATATCCTGGTGGGAAGGGAGCCCCAGGGATCACCCATCCCTGGGGCCTGCTCAGTGCCCACCACCCATTTCCACTGGATTTTCCTCTCCAAGTCCATGTTTTTATAGAATTGAAACACTCTGTGCAATTCCAGGCATTCAAAACTGGGACAGCAATCCTTGGATTTGTCCCTTTTCTGCCAGTTTAAAGGTATTTATCTGCACCTTCCATATCTGAACAGGTTCATTACAAAATTGCTGTGAATTAAGATTTCCTGGAGTGTTTTTGGGGATCCCATCTGAGAGCTGATCCCAAGGGACCCATCACTTGTGAGGATTCTTCAGCAGCATTTCCACTTTCACAGTTTCCCTAAAATACTCAGCTCTTCCCTTTTTTCAGCTCCAGATGGTGCAAATATTGCTGGAAAATGAGCAAAAGGAGTTCAGCACTTGAGGGAAGGGGATTTTTCTTTGGCTTTGTTGCTCTGCCTGGTTTAATTTCCCACAGAAATAAAAACCATGGTGAGAGAGGAGCATTACTGTTGGAATAGAAGATGCAGAACATCCCTATAAATTCATTTTTAATTGCCCAAGAGTTCCAGAAGTGCCTAAACAGATTCTTTGGCATTCCAGGCTCTGGAGAACTTCCCACTGCTGATGTACATTTTGGCAGCTAAAACATTGATCCTTTGCTTGGCCTTTGCTGGAGTCAAAATGTACCAGAGCAAGAAAATTGAGCAGAAACTGAAGAGGGAACGTGAGGAGAAACTGAAAGCAGAAGGAGAGAAGAAGGATGAGTGAAGAGTGCCTCAGGTATGGAACTGATCCCAGTTCCTGGGCTTGGACAATCATTGCTAATCCCACTGGGATTGATTTGGATTTTGGATCCCAAAATGAGCTCTTGGAATAATTGGGATGTTTCAGGGGATTTTCTCCCTCATTCTTTGTTGGATTTGCATGAGCCACTGTCCTGTTTGAGATGTTTTAGCACAATATTCCCTGTGCCTGATGCACAAAGAGGGGGATAAATTGGGAATAACTGCAGGGGAGCAGCCAGGCAGGATGCTGCAATCAGAGCTCTGGGCCTGAAGTCACAAAATAAAGAGAGAAAATAATCAGCCTTTCTAGAGGAGTGAAATCATCAACAGCTTGGGGGTGGTTTAGCTGGAAAGGGAAAATTCCACACCTGGAATTCCCAAAGGGACAGGTTCTGCCGTGGAACATCCACCATGCAGAACTCCCTGAGAAAAATGCACATTTTTCCTGCTTGAAAGAGCAAAATGAACATGACAAAATTCCCTAAATTTGGGATTTTCATTCTGAAATTCCTGAGCTCCTCCCCTCTGTTTCCAAAGCTGAAGCAATCCCTGCATTCTTGGAGCAAATCCATGAGCAGAATGAGTCCTGCCTGGTGCTTGGATTCTATTCCCTGCCTTGCTTGTCATTTTTGGAGCACTTTGCTTCACTTCTCCCTGTTCTGCAGCAAAAAGGGAATTCTATTCCTGCCTGCCCTTTGGAAGCTCAGTGGGAGTTTGTCATGTTGCTCTTTATTGAAATAAAATCTTATTTCCCTTTCTGAGGTCATCCCCTCCCATCTAAAGACACTTAAAATCTTTCCTAGATTTTATTTCCACCCTGTCACTGTTTTATTCCTTTTATTCCCAAGGATTGGGAATTGTGCCTAAAAATGAGGCCCTGGGAATAACCATGGGAACAAATTGTTTTTCTATTTACACACACACAAAAAAAAAACCCCAAAACAAAAACCAAAAAACAAAACAAAACCCCAAAAACACCAAACAAAACCCCAAAAAAACAAAACCAAAGGGGTTTTTTTCAGTCTCCTGCTTCCAGCAGATTCAGGACTTGGCTTTGGGGCAGATTTTGGGCACTTCCCTGGAAAAGGGAAGGTTGGGCAGAGCTTGGAGCAGCCTGGCACAGTGGGAGGTGTCCCTGCCCTGGCAGGGATGGATGGGATGAGATTTAAGATCCCTCTAACCCAAACCAGGCTGGGATTTTGGGGTTCTGTGCAGTGTTATCCCAGGGAATTCTGTTTGGCAAACCCCACAGCTCCAGGGATTTCTGCCCCAAAACCTCAGTGCCACCACCCTTGGTGTTCAAACCTCTCTGATCCCACAGAAATTCTCTTCCCAGTCCCCAGAGCTGCCCAGCAGAGGCTCTGTCCCTCCTGAATTCTGGGATTCAGAGGGAGCAATTCCCCCATGGAGCTGGGAACAGCCCCAGAGGTGCCCCGTGCCCAAATCTCCCTCTTGTTCCTGCTCTTCTCACTGCTCTGTCCCCACCCTGCAGGTTCCTGACACTTGGAATCCCTTCCCAGGAGGATGAAGCCTTCCTGGAAAAGAAGGATGGGTAACCTCAGAGTGACACTTAAATTATCTCTGTTTTTATATGTACAGCAAAGCAGCTGAGCCTCTATTTATGCAATAAAAAAAGTCTTTGTTTAAAAAATAAACGTGGGTGCTGCTTCCTCAAAGGACTGGAGCTGTAGGGGAGGCACTTGGGAAAGATCAGCTGCAGGGAGGGGGCTGGGATGGAAGAGGGAAAAATGGAGGAGAAAATGCTCTGGATGCATCCTGGGAGGCTCATGGAGAGGCAGAAGGAAGTGGAGAGGGCTCAGAGCAGCTTTTGCAGCTGCTTCCTGCTGGGGCCTGCATGGAATCAGGTGGAAAATCCCAGGAGAGCAGCAGCTCCGAGCACTTCGTGTATCCAGGACTTCTTGGGGTCCATGGAGATCACAGAAGGAGTTTTCATGGCAGGAGGTTTATCCTCAGAAATCTCTTTGGTTCCCTGTTCTCTGCTCAGCCTGGGGGCTGCTGTTCCTGCCTCTGCAGTGGCACCAAATCCTGGAGAGCTTGGGCATGGAATCCTGGAATGGTTTGGGTTGGAAGAGACCTAAAATCACCTAAAATCACCTTGTTCCACCCCTGCCATGGCAGGGACACCTTCCCCTGTGCCAGGCTGCTCCAGCCCCAGTGCCCAGCCTGGCCTTGGGCACTGCCAGGGATCCAGGGGCAGCCCCAGCTGCTCTGGGCACCCTGTGCCAGCCCTGCCCACCCTGCCAGGGAACAATTCCTCATTGCCAAGATCCCATCCATTGCTGCCCTCTGGCACTGGCAGCCATTCCCTGGGTGCTGTCCCTGCAGCCCTTGTCCCCAGTCCCTCTGCAGCTCTCCTGGAGCCCCTTCAGGCTCTGCCAGGGGCTCTGAGCTCTCCCTGGAGCTTTTCCTTCTCCTGGACACTCCCAGCTCTCCCAAACTGGCTCAGAGCAGATTTAGGTTCATCAACAGAGAAATACAGAACCAGCAATAAAGGCTCAGGTGTGGCAGTGCCTCAGGTGCCTTCACATCCCCATTTCCATTCCAAAGCACTTCCTACGCCCTTCTGGGAGTTAAGGAGAAGCAGAATTTTTGCAGTGCAGTGGGGAGAGGAGGGAAGAGAAGGCTGGAGAGCCCTTGGAGGAGCCCAGAGCACAGGGGATGCTCAGGGAGCACCCTGGAAGTGCAGGGTTGTTCAAATCTCCCTTTTGCTGCTGTCTCCTTGGAGACTGGAGAACAAAAGCAGTGCAGGAAGCCATTCCCAGCACAGAGAAATGTCCTGCTGTGCTGGATCCTACAGAAATACCCTGCTCCAGCAGCCTCGGGGTGCCAGGCTCAGGAATGCCCAGAATCCCAGGGAATCCAGCAGTTCCCCTCTGCTCCCTGCACTCACCTGAGCATGCCAAGGTGACCTGGGGGGGATTGAATCCAGTTCCTGTGCTGGCAGTGAGCACAGCCTGGTGCCCATCCCCTGAGGGAACACAGGAATTCTGCTGGAGCCATCCCCCAAACCTCCCCAGGGAATTGTCAGCTCTGGTGACACCAGTGGCTTGGCTCTGTGCACTCACTGCTTGGTTTTGGATATGAACCCAAATCTGGAGTTTTTAGGCTGTTCAGAGTAGATTTTTCTAGAAAAAATATTAATAATAGTGATGAGGAATTTTTTTAGCTTTTCAACTGCTGCTTTGTGAGCAGAAATCACAATATCCATTTACCACCAAAGCCACTGGGCACCATTTAGCACCCAAAGCAATCAAGCCTGGCTTAAAATCATCCCTGCCAAAGATGTGCATGAAGGGAATTAATGGAATTAATGCTCTATTTTTGTCCCTGAATATGGGGGAAGAAGCAGTGAGGAGTCTCCTCAGAAATGCTGCAGATTCCTGCACATTCCTGCCTCTGCAGCCAAATCAGACAAATCTTTGCAGGTAAAGGACTTCAAACCTGCTCCAGCCTGATTTTTGGAATCCCAGAGTGGTTTGGGGTGGAACTATCCCATCCATCCCTGCCTTCCTCCTGCTTGAAGCCATTCCTAAATTTCAGTGTAGCATCAGAGCTTGGGATAAGAGAAGGTCTTGTTCACTCCTCTCCCTTCCCAAACTGAGCCATGGCTGTTCCAGTCCTGTCCCTCTGTCCCTTCCCAAACTGAGCCATGGCTGTTCCCTGTCCCTCATCTCTTCCCAAACTGAGCCATGGCTGTTCCCTGTCCCTCATCTCTTCCCAAACTGAGCCATGGCTGTTCCCTGCTGTTCCATGGGGAATTTGAGCCGTGCTCTCTCACCTTCCAGGTGATTTCACCTTTGGGAGTCCCTTGTGCCACAGCTCGAGCAGGAAAAATCTGCTGACACTGGGGGGAGACAGCAGCTCAGCTTTGCTGCAGTTTTTCCTTCAGAGACCAGCTAGGGGCCTGGAATTCTGAAAGAATCCCAGAATTTCAGGATCCCTGAGGCTGGAAAAGCCCTGCCAGCCCAGGCAGTGCCAGCTGTGCCCCCTGCCCACCTTGTCCCCAGCCCAGAGCACTCAGTGCCACCTCCAGGCCTTCCTTGGACACAGAAAGGTTTTTATGGTAAAAAATACATTTAAAAGAGGAAAAGAGAATTCAGTTCAGTTTCATTTCTGAGGGAGAGGAGGCAGCAAGGATAGAGGGCCATGGAGTGCTTGGTGTGTCCCAGAATCACCAAGGTGGGAAGAGCCCTCCAGGATCATCCAGTGCCACCATCACCACAAACTCTGTCCCCAAGTGCCACTTCAACACCAGAGGATCTGCTCAGGAATCTCTTGGAAATATTCCCATCCCAAAAAACGAGCCAGGTCACTGTGGTGCCTACAGAGCACAGGGTCTCTCCTCCTCCCCAATTCCATAAAATTCCTCTTTTCCAAAGCAGGGTTCAGGCTGTACCTCCCTTGCACAGGTCTGTGTTTCTGATATTGTCACTGTCACCAGTGCCAAGTGTTGGAGACACAAAATAAAAGGCTTAAAATTCAAAACTGGCTTCTAAACTTCCTGTGTTTGCAGCTTTAGGGTTGCTTTTATTCACATGAAGGCTGTGTGGGTTTAAACAAAAGCTGCAATCCCTGTGGAGTGATCAGGAAAGGAGCTGTTAAGGGATTTTTAGGGAAACAAACCAAACTCTCCCAGGTTCTGAGGTGACTCAGGCTGCTGGAATAGGGAGCTCACAGCTCTGGGCTTTCTGAGGTCCTTAAAATGAAAAGATGAACCTTCAACAGGACAGTTTTGTCATTAACCTTTAGCTGAGATGAGCTCAGCTTAATTTTAGTCCCACTGAAAGCTTTTAGTCTGAGACTTCTGCCAGAATCACCTCAGGCTGGAGAGAGGCAGAGCTCCCTGAGCACATCCCAGGGGATCCAACTTCCAAACAGGGATCCCAACATTTCCTTCCCTGCTTTTCCTCTTGGGAATCAGCAATTCCTGCCCTGGCTTTTTCCTGCCCTGCAAATGTTCTGGGTGGGGGAGAATCCTTCACAGTTCCCTGGGATCCCAGCTCCAGTCTCGGCAGGATTGCTTCCAAGGATGCAGCAACTTGTTGCATCCTCTAATTACAGCACACATGACATAGTTAATTAGTTAATGTTTATTAACTATTATTCACCTCAGCCTTCAAGGCTAATGGGGAGCTGATGGACCTCACATGAGGGAGTTGGGATATCCTGAGTGGGAAGGACCCACAGGGATCATCCAGTCCCACCCCTGGCCCTGCCCAGACCCCCCAACAATCCCAGTTTTTCCCTGGGAATGTTGTCCCAACTCTCCTGCAGCTCTGTCCAGCACTGGTGACCCAAAGAGATTGAGGACTTTGCTTCTTCCTCTTCCATTCATTCCCACATCCTGGCTTGGACAATTTTTAAGACAAGGCAGGATGCAAGAGGAACTCTTTCATCAAATTCCTGATGGGTTTTTGGGGAGCAGATGCCAGTGGGAAACATCTCAGGATCATCCACACACACACAGAGATTCTTTCTTGCAAAGCTCTGCCTTGGAGCTGAATGGAGATGTGAAAAACAAATATTAAAAAAAAGCAAAGAGGTGGATTTATCTCAAATCACATCTGAGATGTGAACATGGCTTAAATCTTCACTCTGCTGGAGCTTGCTGAGCACCCAGCAGTGCTGACCTTGGTGGGACTGAACCATGGAATTCCTGAGTGGGAATAAGGGAATAAACCCACAGGGATCAGAAAGGAGCCTGGAAGTTCCCAAGTTGAGAAATCACTACGAAAAATGAGAAATTTATCCCTCCCTCAACCCCCCTCTTCTACCAGCTGTTCCTGAAACCAGAGATTCCCTGAATAATTGGATCCTGCAGGCTGCCCCAAAATATCCATATCTGCTAAAAACCTGTCTAAATATCCCAGTAACTCCATGGCTGAAGGTCAGAGACCACATCAGGGTGCCCTGTCTTTAATTCCTGCTGGAGCTGCCCTGGCCCAGCCCCAGCTGCTCCCTGGGTGCTGTCCCTGTGCCAGGAGCAGAGGTTGGAGCTGCAGCCCCTCAGGGTCTCCCTCAGGCTCCTCCAGCTGCACATTTCAGCTGCTCCTTGTGTGACCTTTCCCCATGCTCTGGGCTCTCTCTGAGCTTTGGCTCTTACACTGCAGCTCCACATGGAAAACAGCCCAATGTCCCACCCATGAGTGTGTGGGGACAGCTCAGGTAAAATTTCCACAGCCTGAGTTGATCTTTTTCCCCTGGATTTGATCCAAGGACCTTATTTTGGCTCTGAGTGACCGAGGACTGGGAGGTGGCACAACCCAAGTCCCTGCCCAGCTTGGCTTTGGCTTTGAAGCTGCTTTGTCTTGGCTGCTGGAGCAATTCCAGCGTGTCTGGGCTCAGCTGGACCTCGCCTGGCTCACGTGTGGAGCACTTTGGGACAATCCCAGCTGATATCAGGAATTCTGGCAGCTGCCCCAGGTTGTCCCATGGCAATGAGCTCCTTGTGTGCTCCTGCAGAGGGAAAGTTTGTTTGGGCACAAAGGAGCCATCAGGCTTTTATCCGTGTGGATTTCCAGCTGGCAGCCATTCCTGCTGGATCAGAGGGAGCTGCTGGAAATGTCCACGTGTGCCAGCATCCCTGCAAGGCTCTTCCAGTCTGTCCCGAGGCTGGGATGTGGCTGTCACATGG